GAGGCCGGTACCCATACCCGTTGCCATGCGGCTCCACTGTAATAAGTACGGCCCGTTGCGTGCGGGGGGGGTTATCACAGTCCCGACCCAACCTCAAGGGCATACACTGGGGAAGGGAAACGCGTTTTAGGGTGGGGGTTATCCTCTGCGCTTTGCTTTGGGAGTTTTCGGTTTGTAACACGTCAACCACGATAAAGATAGTGCGATTGTCTTGTATGTACGTATCCCTCTCGCTTTAGAAATAAATTCAAGAATGCATTCATTAAGGAGGAATAGTAGAACTTAATGTACTGGAGCAAAAGAAGCACAAGGCTCTATTATGGATTCCAAATTGATTAGTCGTTAGACGTCTTTGGCATTTTACCCTTTTCATTAGCCGTGCACGATTGCAAAAGACTGTATTTTATGAACACAATACACATTAAACGTATCGATGTGTAAAAGCATGCTTATCTTAATACTTTACAGTTGTTTAAATATCGAATTGGGATTAAAAAATTAGATCATAATGAACCCTCGTTTCAGACAAGCAATTTGATGAGTTTTTTATCCACCTTGTCCTCTCCCCTACCTCCTTACCTAGCTTGCGGGGATGAAAAAGCTTGAGGCTGTCTCACTTAACCACTCTTCATAGACTACGGAAACATCCTTCATGTAGCACTTGTTGGTCCATACGACGCTGTTGAAAATAACAAGTGCCGGTTTTTTTCTATGTGAAAAAAGCACGCTAGAGGGGTGTAAATGCACCGCTTGCTGCCCCACAACAGTTTTGTACATGCCAATTTTGGCATCAAAGTAGGCAGTGTTTAAGAAGAAGCCAGCACACAGGGCGCGTCGTAGTAGCTCATAGTCGCGCCATTTTTGTCTCCCATGACCCGCTTCGCTGTTTGACATCGGCGCAACCGAAGATGAACCGTTATCAATGTCGCCCATCTCGAGAGAGTCCTGCGGAGCGGAAAGATTCAATTCGGTTGCACCATCATCCCCCTTATCCTCCTCACGTAGACGCTTTGACAGAGTGATTGACTTGGAAGAGCTAGACAGATCCGGCTTCTTAGCATTTTGCACACCATTAGAACTAACAACGCCATTTTTTTGGAACAGCTCATCATCGTCCTCTCCCTGCGCTAAGAGAATAGCACTCAGCTGCGTTTTAATATCCTCGGCTTTTAGCATTTGTTTGTAATTTATGCCGTTCGTTTCACACCAAACGCGACGATCCTTCTCTAGGGTTCGGCAAAACGTCTGGTATATGCTCAAAAGCGTCGCGTGGTCGCCCGCCGCCTTTGCGAAGGAAGCTTTGCATCGGTCTGCTCGATCTCTGAATTCGTGTGAAGTCAAAAACAAGTTTTCCGTATTTGTTAGGGCCACCACCGCAACGGCATCTCTCGCGACACCGATGGACTTTGCCGCCAGGAGTGTTTTGGCCGAAGTGGGATCGATAGGGAAATCGGTAAGCCGCTTCCCCAAACGCGTGATTTTGCCGTGCTTATCCAAGGCTTGCAGAAGCAGCAACATTTCCTCAGCCTTTACCACAGAGGATGCCCGTGGAGGGTCCATAAACTCAAAATTCAGGATGTCGTCAATTCCAAGACTTTTCATATGCAGCACAACACTAACTAGGCTGCTCCGACGAATTTCGGGAGTTGTGTCGACTTGTAGTGCTTCAAAAGCTTCGGCGGTGTATAGCCGAAAGCACTTCCCCACCGACATGCGGCCGGCTCGTCCACTTCGCTGGAGGGCCTGCGCGCGGCTAATATCAACCTCAACAAGCGCTTCTATCCCAGTTTTGCTGTTATAATACTTCGCCTTGACCACACCAGAGTCCACGATGTATTTGATCCCCTCGACTGTGATGGAGGTTTCCGCGATGTTGGTAGCGAGGATAATCTTGCGGCGCCCGCTAGGCGCCACATCAAAAACACGCAGCTGCAGTTCATAGGGCATCGCCGAATACAAAGTTAGAACAACAAACCCCTGCACGTCTTCCTGGAGCAGCTTTACGCGGTTCTCTAAGATGCGCTTGGCGTCCTCGATCTCCTCCTGCCCCGTGAGAAAGCAGAGGACGTCACCGGGTTCTTCGTTGAGATGAATCTGTAGGATCGCGCTGACGCTGGCCTCGACGTAGTCGGCCTGCGGCTCCAAAGTGTGAAGGATACTGACCGGAAAGGTCCTGCCGTGGACGACGCCGATCGGCGCGTTCCACCAAAACGCACGGAACTGTTCGGCGTTGAGGGTGGCCGACATCACCACAATCTTCAGCGCCTTCCCCCGGCGCCGCACGATAGCCTTGAGTAAGCCAAAAAGGATATCCCCGTGCAGAGTGCGCTCGTGGGCCTCATCCAGAATGATATAACTATACTTTTCAAGGTCCGGGTCGGTTTGGATTTCGCGAAGGAGAATCCCATCCGTGAGGTATTTAATCCGCGTGGCGTCGGTGCAGACGTCATCGAAGCGGACGGCATAACCCACCTCCGCGCCCAACGTGCCCTGGCGCTGCTTCGCGACGTGGCGGGCGATGCTCACGGCGGCGACGCGCCGGGGTTGGGTGCAGCCCACCAGGCCCCGCTTTTCCGCAGGGTACGTCGAGACGACGTCGTCCCAGACGTATTGGGGGATTTGGGTGGTTTTGCCTGAGCCCGTTTCCCCGACGATAACCACCACCTGATGTCTCTTCAGGAGCCTGACAATGGCGGGCCGGGCCTCGGCAACAGGTAAGGCGTCCGCATGAGACGACATCACCATGCCCGGGAACGGC